AAGGCTTTCGCGCTAGTAAGTAATAAAGACGAAGGGGATCCCACGATTAACAGGCCAAAGATGGGGGCGGTATCACCAGGATCCTCTACCGTGGGGACAAGGCATTATACTTATAACCGTTTATGACAACGAACACCTTCCAATTTTACTGACAGTTAATTAGCGTAAACAACCATTATCGCCCTCCTTCCACATCCTATCCCCTTTTGAGGTGTTTTTCTTATACTGCTGCCTTGATGACCGCTGACGGTTGATTAGCCTATACCCACTGTACAGAACTTGCCAGAATTTGTGCAAAATACCGACATATTCGAACGATTTATACTCCTTCGCTTATCTGCATTGGCTCAGGTTGGGATACTGGTTATCTTGTAGTTAATTTTGAAGTCATTTCAGTTATTATAGGATGCTGGCTTTTTAGAGAGCTTCTTTCGGACCACTAGCAAAACGTATCTACTGTAAAAAACTGGCTACTTAATTTGTATAACTTTTATCATTTATTTTGAATGCTTTAATAAATTCAAATATACTTTATTGAAAAAATGCACAAACAAATTATTTATTGTAGTCGTTAGATAGCAAAGTAATCCTTATTTAAAATTTACGCACAAAGAAAGGGTAGGTTTCTGTTTTAAAATAATTGCTAATCGTGCGCTGTTTTAAAATTGTAAGATGTTTTTTTTATAAAACATCATCTCCGTCAATTTATAAATGCTGCTAATACTGCATATAATATGTTCCACATATATTGCAACATTTTGTGATAAATATGTGACTTTTTCCTCACAATATAGGCGAAAACGTACTTTTCCTTAAACAGGAGGTACACAGTGCACATACTTTTTAACCTTAAATTCGAATGTAGCAGTCACTAGTTTAGAAAATAATTCGGTAATTAAGCAACTTTTTTTAAAACCGAAAGCTACTGTTTGTTTGAGTACTGAATTGAAAAAAGGTGTAATTTGCTATCAAACACTAAACACTAAACAATAAAAAAAATTCCGTGCAAGATTTTCACAATTTTTTTTTAAATTTATAAAGGTGGTCAAAATAATTGATATAAAGGCATACCAATTTAGTAGCCAGTTTTTACCATAGATACATTTTGCTAGTGATCAAAACGAAGCTTGCTAAAAAAATGCGCATCCTATCATGACCGAAATGACTTCAGAATATACTAAACGATAATAATCAGCATCACAAACTCAATGAAAACGCGATTATCGAAATAGTATCAATGTTAATCATATATCGATATATTGCCTGATCTTCGGCGAATACTGTTAGTCAGCACTGTGACTTACACTATTACCTTTGAGATACTAAGTATATGGACAACTCTTAAATTTGCTCGTTGCCCTGCATTTACTTATCTTCGCCATATTTAAATGCATTTATCTTTCGTATTGTTTTTAAAAAAAGAATATTTCATTCGTCTTTACACATAGTCTACCATTTTCTTAGTCATTAATACCTCACTTGAAATTATCAGGTCTTGTAATAATAACTCAGGAATATGTATATAGCACCAGTTACCTCATTACATGAAGAAGACCGAGACGACAACAGTTGTCATAGGTCATGTTGGATCCGTAGTACTATAGAAATAACTATTGCGTAGTACAAGGGAGCAAGAGATAAGGGTTATGCACTAAACGAAAAACATAAGATCGAATGCTTATTTACAGATCGTCGATATCTCGCTTTGTTGCTCAAAACAGGATTAATCTCTGCTTTCGACGTAGATGCAGTGGTTCAAGGGGAGTATCTTCGGTGCCTTCCGACGTGACTTCCTGGACTTTGCACTCCACAGCCCTGCGACACAACCCCTCCTCGGAATCCTCTTCTCAGACAAGGGACTTGTAATCCCGGATGAATTTTTCTTCCAGACCGTAGCATTTAACCCTCACCTCCGCGCCCCCGGCGCCTGCCGTTTCCTGCCACTGCCCACGGAGGTTGGTATGGGCTACCCAGCAACGTATGCATTAGCTAATGTGCCACCTTCTCGTGGTCTTGCCGGTTATGTAGGAAATACTGGGATGCGAGCCTTTTCATTTATTCGGTAATATCGATATTCGTTTAGGAAGGCTTACGCCGTTCACGCCACCCGCTAGGCTCATTTTCAAGTCCTGCAAGCAGGGGTTAGTAAAATAGGCAGGGAAACACCAGCACAAACTTATGTGGAACTGGAATGGTCATTGCCGACTTATTAGCCGTTTTGAGCTCTTTATACCTTTCCACACGTTATGCAAACGACCCATAATTCAGCGAGTAAGGTGCAGGGTTGAGCTTGGAGTTGCGCACAATCTGGGGTTGAACATAGTTGGCTAATAATTGCTATGCCGCCAGCTATGGCAATTTCAGTCTACCCTCTGTCTTCCAGGTAATGACTCACTGCAAGTTTACAGCTAGGAGACGTGACCTGCCTTCGTAATACCCTTGTAAATTGTCTTAAAAGCAACAACTGCGTGAAATGCGATGGATTCCCGATGCATAGTTATATTTTTATGGTTGTTGGAACGTGTTAAGCAAGCGACTGGACAACAAACCTTTACCT